GCACCCTTCCTTTCAATGCAAGCCCTCCATATCCTTCGCAACTTGTACTTTGTCTCGTCTCGGCTGGGTCAAAACGCATCTTCGCAACACACGTTCGTGACCCTTACAGCGGTGGATATCCTTGCACAGTATCCAAACCTGGTCGAGAATTTCCTACAGAGTGTCAAACCAAGTGAGCTTGGTCAAATTCCACAGCACCCCATTGAGCGCTGTCTGGATCTCTATTTTATGAATACCGCAGAGCTTTTCACCCCTGTTTTATCTCCGAAATGCAGTGAGGAGCTTCTAATTCCAGCAACACTCCCGTATCTCGCAGCAGGCGGAAATAACCATTTGCTCGAGATTTTCGAGGCGGCTCATAGCGTGGCTCTTGCTGTCTTTGCCATTCCAGGAAATGCAGCCATAGCAGCTCGGCATCTTCCCTTCTACATCGACAATCTCTTTGCTGTAAGTCCTTCTTTTGGTCTTCCGGGTTGTCGCTTTGTGCTCATGATTCAAAGGTCTTTCCTGATAATCTATCCGCCCGCCAATTCCGCCTTGCCTTCAAGACCGTCATTAAAGTGACTGCGCCTCCGTCACTCGTTGCAAATAGCCAGCCGCTGCTGCCCTCTATACTCCTCGAAGTTCTGCACGAAAGAGCTCTGAACGCATCCGACAAGATGCTTCCACAATCCACGCAAGGAGCAGCAGGTGCTCATCAGGGCCTGGCACCGCCAGTCTCCGAGCGAGCTGCCTTGATCCTCGCTTTGATAGATACGCTCTGTTTCCTGCGGGTGGAGGACCTCGAAGAGTGGCTGCCGTTGACCGCGAATCTTATTCACACGATTCGCACGCCAGAGATGCGTGGAGTTTGCATCGAGCGCTTCTGGGAAGCGTTGAGTAGTGGTGAGATGGATGTCGAACGCGCTCATTACTGCGTCACCTGGTGGAGTACACGAGGCGGTCGTGAACTTGTTCTATTCGGTAATACAGCTCCAGATGCCGACTCGGGAAGTCATGCAGAGGGCGCCTACATGAGCGGTGCAGTTGGGGGAGTAGCACCGGAGAGCAAACTTTAGACGGGTTCGAAGCGCGCAGCATGGTCAGTTGCGTTGGACTCTATAGCGCAGGGCGTTCGGTTGTATATGGTGATACCATTCTGGCACGTTCTATATATGATTGATACACATTTAATCCTTCTTTGTCTTCCAAGTGTACAAGTAAATATGGGACTGTAAACTTTTATATAGATGGGTATTAGAAAATCCCAGGAATGCCAACCCAAGTTCTCTTCTTGTACTCGACGTATTCGTCTCCAAAGAAGCATACTAAAAATTTCTCCTCCCCTGCGTTCCGTTAGCCAATCCACCAGCAATCAGCAACAGGCGGGAAAAAACACTCACGCTTGATTCGATTGTAAAAGAAGTTCCACAACACCGCCGCATACCCAACGAAACAAACCACATTCCCCAGCACTAACTGCGTCCCCATCCCCCACCAGAAGAACCCAAAGTAGCTGGGGTGCCGCAGCACCGCATACACGCCGTGCCGCACAAGGGTATGGCCCTCCTGCCGCTCCACCTGCACTGTATGGTTGAAGTTCGTTCCGGCCTGCTTCATCGCTAGCGTGCGGATCGTCTGCCCGCACACCATCAGCGCCATTCCCAGGACGACCTGCCACTTGATCCCGTTGACGGACGCGGTCAGGGCCGTGTATCCATCGCGCGGGCCGAGGGTGTGCGAGAGCAGACACTCGGCGACGGCGGAGCTGTGCGCGGCGTTATAGGCCCAGCCGTTCGAGGAGAGGAGGTACGCTGAGATCGAGGCGTAGCGGGTGTTGTACTGCGCTGTGACCCAGTATTCGAGGAAGTGGAAGAGGGCGAGAGAGGAGATGAAGAAGGGGACGCGCCATAGCGGGTGCGGGGAGATGAGGACGAGGTAGAGCGTGATGCTGGCTGAGATGCCGAGGGCTGTACCTAGGAGGAAGGCGCGTAGCGATATGCCTGCGAGTGACATATCGCCGTTGGGGTAGTTGGATGGGTCGAGGGGGGGAGGGGATCGGGATCGCGGCGGCGCGGGTCGCGCGGGTCGCCAGCCTGGTGTGCTGGTGATGTTGTTGGTGTCAGGCTGGCGACCGGAGGAGACGCTTTCGTCTTGGGATGAAGTCTGTTTGGTCATTTTGGTTTTCGGTCGGGGTGAGGGTGTGGAAGTGGCAGTGGTGCCAGGTGTTAGGCAGCTTCTTAGTCTGTCGGCGGAAGCTGTGATGGCCTCAGAGAAGCGTCATAGTCTGGATTATTATAACTTTGGCTGGACGTATAGAGCATGAATATGAAGCAGAAAAGAAATCTCAATGCATCTTTTGCAAATTAAAGACAACAATAGTGTATGTTTATTGTTTATCTACGCTGGATCAAGAACAATGCCAGTGCGTCTGTTGTGGTTATGGGAGGATTGATCAGTCTAAATTTAGGATTGTCCCTGGGCTATTATTGTCACCCCCACTCGGCCACAATATGACGCTTCAATCGTTGGAATCAGAAACTGTCTACCAACAAAGAACACGATTCCTATAGATCCATATCTTTGTAAAATGATTTCCGCCGGAATGCCGTCCGAGAAAGAGAAGATGCTCCGAGGGGAGCTCTACTATGCCTTCACTCCAGACCTAATAGCTGCTCGGACCCGCTGTAAACATGCCTGCCAGCGATTCAACAATGCTGGTGAGGTATCCCGCCGGCGACAAATCGAGCTTTGGAAAGAGTAAGTGATATTAAAAAGATTATAAATGTGAATCACACCGAGTACAGTCCTGAAGATGATCTCATAACACGGACAAATTCCCTTGAGATGTGGGAGCAGCATGATCTCCATACTCACTGAACTCCAGCTGATAGTTGATAGCATCGTCCATGACAAGACCCCTCTTCCACCTCCAAATCAGGACCCTGCGGAAGACGATGCTCTTCTATCACGAGAGCCGTGGATTGAGGCACCGATCCGGATTGACTACGGGTTCAACGTGCGGCTAGGAGAAGGCGTGTTCATTAACTTCAACTGTGTCATCATCGATACTTGCCTTGTCACTATTGGGGCACGAACATTGCTAGGTCCGAACGTCAGTCTATATAGCGGAACTCATCCGCTGGACCCCGCGCTGCGCAATGGAACTGAGGGTCCGGAGCTAGGAAAAGAAATCCATATTGGCGAGGATTGCTGGTTGGCCGGAGACGTGATCGTCCTCCCGGGGGTTACGATTGGGAAGGGAGCAACGATTGGGGCGGGGAGCGTAGTAACAAAGGTACGTCCATAGTCATAGCAGCTGTGGTCATTGTGCCCTTTCGTTCTTGTGACTGATGATGATGGTGGTAGGATGTTCCTGCTTTCCATCTTGCTGCTGGGAATCCAGCCAGGATCATTCGGAAGATTGAGACGTCGATGGCCGAGTAATGGCACCTAGTCAAACCTCGGCGTACAATTCCAAAGTGCATACCTCTCAGTCTTAATGTATGCTAGCATTCTTGTACAAGTCCAAAGTACCACAAACACTTCCATGCGAGGCCCCGATGAGTATCGCAGAAAACAAAACGCAACTGCATGCAAAGAATCAAGGAAATAGTCAAGAAATTGATAAAACTGAGCAGATTGATCAAACTTCTAAAAAGACGAAAAGCTGGGCACGCTAGAAGTCCATAGTAGAAGGCTGAGAAGCTTCTGTGGGGACCAGGAGATTTAGGTTTGGACGAGCATCAGACGAAGATCCTCTGTGGCCCGTACCTTTTTACAATGGATTCAAATATCTGCCGATGAATCCTCAAGCGGCAGTAAGTCTGAGACACCATCAGAACTTACGCTTTACTGGCAGAGCTGCGATTATCCGAGCAGGCCAAATTCTTCTCAGCCTCAGGCACCTCACAATTCCAGATGGTTGGCAGGTTGATTGGCGAAGAATGCTAGCTAATGCAAAGGGTGACAGTCGCATTCTAAATGAATTAAGCTAGACGTGATGCTGTACATGCACGTTAAGGAGGTCCATCATGACAATCAGTAAGGGGTATGTATAATCTTCATGATAATGATCCTTCGACGTTGACTCCTGAAAAGTCCTCTCAGTACCTTCGTGGCGACCAGGACCTTATGTATCATACAAGGCTGTATTGCGATGCCGACTTAGTGCTAAGATTTCCAGGGCGCTAATTGCAGTGAGAAATAATATTCAGAAGAGCATCTCCAGAGGGGCAGGAAACAAGGTAGCTTATTCACCTGCCACGCGGGGGATTGCAGAATAGCTTTCCGTACTTCGTACTTTATTTAGCGTTGTCCTTCTCATAGTACCTTACTGAAAAGCCTTGACTACACCTAGGCACTCCGTAGTACTTTCATACTAAATTGCAGAAAAGATCTTTTAATGATACATAGGTAGAGTCTTCCTTCCAGTCAAAATGCTTCTCTAAAGGAGGAGCTTGTATCAAGGGTTTCTTCTCCACCCAGCCTCTCACTCACCTAGGCTCCATGAGTTCATAGCCTCTGGACAAAGAAAAACAGTAGCCTACCAGCGCTTGAATCACACAGTTGACCCACCAGGCCTTCTCCACCACAACGTCAGAGCTGCCGGCTCTTAATTCTAGGTTTAATTCTTCTTTCAGCTCTCCAAGTCCAAGCTTTTTGATTTGGTGGTGTTTGCTTTGGTTTGTGCTCTCCTCTCCGCCAAACCTGTGATTATTATCATCATCGTATCACTGATTAGAGTGATAGCTGCCTATCTCACTTTTTCGTTCTATCTGGTGGTTATCTATGCAGCTTTCTGCTTTCCACTCCCTACAATAATCCATTGACATACCCCCTCTTTGCTTCGCACGCATACTCTCTCACACTCTCGCTTTTCTGTCTTATCACCCCATACGCAGAGAGAAATTATTGTCTTATCTGTTTGTGGGTAGACATTACCTTGTCAACCATTACTACATCCCTCTATTATACCTCAAATTTCCCTCACAATTCGAGCAGAAGGTAGAGAAAATGTCATGGCAGCTGCCCCGCTAGATAGCTCTAGCACCCCGCCTGACGCTACTCTATCCACCGATTCGACGCGTCCACACGGCGATTCCATGGAAGATCTCGATCCCCAGTCCACCCGGAAACGTCCGCGTCTCGACAGTGGAAGCGGTGTTGTTGAGTCGTTGTCGATAGACGAAGCTGCGATTTCTCGAATGTCCAAGCCGACACCGGCTGCTCCTGCCACGCCCGGAACGACTGATCACGACGTCCCTGCGTCGACTGCCCCCGCCAGCAGAGTGACCATCAATGTGAAATCTCCCACCTCCGATACCATGGCGACTGATTCCTTAGACACTACCGCCGAGCATCCTGGCGCCGGTCCGCCTAGTGCTGCTCTAGCCGCTGATTCTCCCAAAGTCGTCTCGATATCGTCGACGCCTGCACAGAGTCCGGAGATTGAGGTGGCCGACTTGGAAGACATGGATCAGGACCCCAACACTTCGACGTGGAGAACGCTCGGTGAAGCTTTGCAGGATCCTGTCACACCAGAGGTAGTGCAGCTCCAAGGTCAGCCGCCTTTGAGTGAAACATTTCCGAAGCTTCGAGAGGCCGATGACCTACGAGAAAACTTGGAGGGGATCGGCTCAATCATCGAGAAAGGTATGCAAGGTGTATTTGATAATTTTGGCGCGTGTTTGAAGTTGCTCGGAACTAACGGAGCTTGTCCGGGCAGGAAGTCAACATGATGTCGGCGTTTTCTTAGCCGTGAAGCACTGGTTCGATGAGATTGCGCCGAGCTTGGATCAAATTACTGATGAAACTTACGTGGATGACCGAATCTTCTGGGAAGATCTACCCTTGCTAGTGGAGTCATTGCTTCGCAGAGGGTAAGCAGTCCCCTTGGAACACCAGACGTCTGTGATTACGACGAGGCGGCAGAACTCTTCTTTTGCTGACGATAATTCACCCATTATAGGCAGCCTCTGGAGCCTGACGATGGTCAAGGAATTTGGTTTTGCTTGGAGGAATTCCTGATCAACTTTGCATTGCTTGGCTTTCGTCTGGTGCGCTTGGATATCCTAACCTTGACGCAACTGGCCGAGAACATAGATATGCAGGCCGTGGATCTTATGTCAAGGGCATACTTGCAAGCGTTGGGCTGGATATTACAATTACACGGCATTCCCTTCTATCGCGCCATGGAACGCGCCCACGGTTCCGAGATCGTTGATCTTGTTGTTCAGCTTAACATTCGAATTGCGTTCCTTCCAATCGGTACGATCCACCTGCTATCGAAGTATGCTGCTTGCCTCCTGGATCTTGTTTCTAGACCTCAATGGTCGCAGCTCTCTTCTTCCTTAGTGCACACCCTCACTATCGTGCACAACATGATGGACTCCGGGGTCGAGCAATGGAAGATCCGCGAGGAGGAAAATAGCGCTGAATCTGCGTCGTTCCCTCTTTTTCTGAAACAGGTCTATCAGTTCGCTCGGGACATTGATGGGAAGTATCAGGTTCACATCGCTAAGAAGTCACCCTGGGTCACAAGCGACGCAAGTGAATCGATCCTTCGGTGCATCTCGGGTATCTATCTTGCCGTCAGCCGCGATTCGAGTTTCACATCGCAAGTCGCCAATGACCTCTTGATCGAGCTCCCTGAGCATATCTCCCAAGATGAGCGTGCCTGGATAATTTATTATGCTTGGAGGGTTGCCGTACTGCAGAAGCATATCAAGGATGGCCGCATGGAGTTGAGGGTTCATGGCATAGAGACCATGCAAGCGGATCTCGTCAACGTATGGCGGCAATATATCCAAAACAATCCCACAGGCACCGAGCACCCGCTTGTCCGATTCCTCGTCGGCTTCCTGAGGGAAAATAAAATCGTCGATTACATTGTCGGCGTCGATTCGCACCCTCAGCTCATTAGTCGGAGTGGAAATATTGTCGGCTTCCTGATAGTTACCTCTACTTACGGCGACATAGATACGGATACAATCTGGAAGACGGTGACAGAGTCACAAGACCCCCGGACAGTATCCGAAGTACTTGGGATGCTTACCAGGACATTCCACATGCATTCAGCCTTGTCCTCAGCATTAATCTATCTGTGCGCCAAGCTCCTCGAGCTACCCCTGTCTCGGTTTGACGCACGGATGGTGGAGTTCTGTGAACAACTTCTCTATCAGGTCCGTGAAAAACAGGGCGAGAGGAGTCGACACGACGTGCTGGACGCATCACATATGGATGCTGTTCCTCTGCGTTTGTGCGTGCGCCTCATTCGCGAGAGTGCTGCATTCGATGAGTTCTCGGTAGAGCACAAGGCTTTCTTGCAGAGATTTGCGAGCTCGCAGCTGAGCTCGTTTATAAGTGTCGGGCTGAGTGAAAGTGACAAGATGGAGACGTACGAACGCTGCATTCAGGATATTGCTGAAATGAACCAGTTTACTGTCGGCAGCATTCAGGCCTTGAACGCTCTCCTTCCAGGGTACGATACGCAGGAGATACGCAAGCTTGCCACAGATTTTGATCTTCCGGCCCTGGTCATTGCCGAAATGGTTCACACAGTGGACATGAAGCAGACGGACTTTGGCGACTCCTTTTCGAAGACCGGATTCATATCCAGGATTCAACTGCTTGCCCGCATTATTGACAAAGTCCCTGATTCTATCACAGCGGACCTGGCTGATGTCCTTTGGGAAAAGGTGCTCGTGTCCAAAACACTGGTGGAACAAGGCCGCCGAGCTGTGTGGGACATGTTGTGCGAGCACATGAGACGCAGCCCAAAACGCAATCCGTTCATTGAACGGTGTACCCAAGAATACCTTCCAAAATTGTCTCCTAATGACTACTCTCCCGAATTGCTCGCATTCGCGAAGCAAGCGGTCAATTACGAGGTCCGATTCAATCCGCCACCGATCGCTAAAGAGAATGAGGTCGTCTCAATTCCCGGGCTGGACCGTATCTGGAATTTCATTCTCACGGCTCCACCGGGCTCAATCGAAACAGACGCCACAAATTTTGCGATCGAGGTCTACCTTGATCACTCTGTGATCAACCGCTCTCCGCGATCGGCCGTTGAGGCAACTCATATTGCTTTGGTGGATCGTTGTGTTGAACAGCTCAAGTCTGCCGCGGCTCATTTGAAGCCATCCATTGGTGACACCGCCAATGGGACTGACGAGTCAATGGCAAGCGACCTCAGCGGAAGTGAAAGCCGAGCCGACGCAATACGTTTCAGTCGTTCACTGCTCTTTCTTCGCCAGTTTCTCCAGGGGCTACGGACTAGGCCTCAATATAGCCCGCCGCAGAATTCACCCCCGAACTTGCCTGATCATCCGGTAAAGGGCGAGCTGATTGAAATTCGGTATCAAACATTCAACGGAAGTGCTCAAAGTAAATTTCGATCGTTACGAATTGGAGACCTGGCTACCGCAGCTGAGCTAGTTGAGAAACTCGAGCAGCTCACGGGATTCTCGAAATTTAGTACCATTACAGGGGGCCGACGTCTGGATCTTCTGGAGAAACCTGATCTCACAATACGTGAGATGAAGATCGGGTCTGGGCTGCTCCTAATCCGGAAGAATGCTGACAGCCGCGAGGTGGCCTCGACTGGTAGACGCCCGTCACTTACCCCGGTAGATTCCGAGGTACTCAAACATTTTGATGACCTTTACGACCTTCTCAATCTTCAGGACCACCTGGCTCGAGAGGTGAGAATTCTTTTTTGGCCTGGCGTGCGTTCCTTTACGATTCCGTTGCTTACTCTGGCTATCGCAGATCTATGACTTTCTCGTTGTCTTTCCGCCTCAAGAAAGGGTGATTGAATTAGTCAAATCTTTGGAAAAAACTGAGGAAGACATCTTCCCAGCGGACAAACCGTATAGCCTGCTTTATTCTGCAAATACCCTTTCGAGTTGCTTGAGAGAAGAAGCATTAGAGGTTGTTCCAATTACCCGACCTCGCCCGTCGTGGACTGTGCTGATATCATCGCAGTCGGCTCCGGATCAGGCATTTGTTTCTCACAGCATCCGTGTCGTCGTTTCTGCCCTGACACGTCCAGAGGCGCCTGAATCATTGCCAGAGTCTCCGACGAAAGTTCAGATTGCCGCCAGCCTTGTTGAATGCCTTCTTCACGCTCTCATGGGTAAGCTGACTTGGTCATCGTCTACCTTGTACTCGTCAATGCTGACCGCTGCATAGTGAAACCACCTGTAGCCGCCGACTCTCTGACAATCACCAATTCAGCCCAGCTGGTGCAACGATTGGAGCAATTAATTGAGGTCGGACGGGGAATGCCCTCGACTTGCCTGTTCGGAACCCAACTTCAGAGATTGGTTTGTAACTGCTTTGCCGTGCTCACTGAGGGTTCCTTGCGCGATCACAAATTCTGGGAAGTCATCAAGCAACAGTCACAGTTAGACTGCCTCCTTGTATCCCTCCTTTTGGATGAGAGTCGACAACCTATTCGCAGAGAGATAATCGAACGTATCGCCGTCGCCTGCAGCCCGTCCAAGCTGGTCAGGAAAGCAACAAAAGCGGTCGATGGCGAAATGCAAGATGCATCGGACACAATGGCCTCCGAGAACCCGGTCAGAGTTGATATGTTGGCAACTATCTGGGATGCTTTTGTGAAGATCATGCCGCAGACTCTGGAGCATGCTGAACAGTCCCAGGAATTTTTCGACATCGCTCACCTCGTGTTCCAATCAGTCGCGGAGCAATCACCTAAGGACCTCATATATGGCAAGTATCTGAGGCAGTGGAGCAGCGTCATGCTAGGTCACAAGACACAAGAGGTCAGTGAGAGTCCCGTCATGTATCCGCTCTCCGCACTAACTCTTGGGAAGTTCGTTGGACGTGAGCCCGTGGATCACCTTATTCTGGGATTCTGTCGTCTTTTGAGATCGTGCCTGGATTTAGCTGATTCGAGCAATACTGGGGTAGACTCCTTGTAAGTTAGCTGGATCAAATGCTCAGTTTCCGACCCTCACTCACCCTCCTCTTATAGCGACCTTGCTGAGAAGCTCATTGAGAATTACCTTTTCCCCAACCTATCCGAGGAATCGGACAACCTTATCGTTCCGCAGATCCCGGTCATGCACACTCAGACCCGCCAAGAGCTCTATGGCATCCTCAGTCTATTGTGCAAATATTCTGAGGATTATTGCACGGTAGTTGATTGTGTCAAAGAGCTGATCCCTGGAGGTACAAATTCCAGTTCCTGGCACATGCGGCCTTGGTCTATTGTGATACTGATCAACTGTTGCGATCTGGCAGATTATACATACTCCTCCAGCTGGTGTTTTGATCGGCACAAGATGATTCGTGCTCCCGAAGGCTATGCGGGACTCAAGAATCTTTCCAACACCTGCTATTTGAACTCTCTTCTAACCCAATTGTTTATGAACATTCAGTTCCGCGATTTCATGCTGCAGCTCCACCTTTCAGACGCGGATGCTTCCCAGAGGTTACTTGCTGAAACGAAGAAGCTCTTTGCTTACATGCAAGAAACGTGGCTCAGGAGTGTTGATCCTCAAGGACTGGTAGATAACATTCGAACTTACGACAACGAACCAATCGATGTAACGATTCAAATGGACGTCGACGAATTCTATAACCTGCTGTTTGACAGATGGGAGGCCCAGATCACGGGCTCCGAGGACAAAAAGAAGTTTCGGTCTTTCTACGGCGGCCAGCTGGTCCAGCAAATCAAGTCCAAGGAGTGTCCTCACATCTCCGAGCGTCTGGAGCCTTTCTCCGCCATCCAATGCGAGATTAAGGGCAAAGCCAGTCTCGAGGAGAGTCTACAAGCCTATGTCGAAGGAGAGATAATGCAAGGAGGTAAGCGACTTCGGGAGAAAAAGGTTGTGGGTTGGCCGCCATTCTGACAATCCTTTCTAGATAACAAATACTCTTGCACATCCTGTGGGCGGCATGTCGACGCCGTTAAGAGGTAGGCTGCAATTGGCGTTCCGCGGTAGCACAACTGACGCTGACTTCTCCGTATAGGGCCTGCTTGAAGGAAGTTCCGGACAACCTAATTTTCCACCTTAAGCGCTTCGACTTTGACATGATCACAATGATGCGGAGCAAAATCAATGATGAATTCCGCTTTCCTGAGCACATTGATATGAGCCCATTTAAAGTCGAATATCTTTCTGACCAGAACTCGGATGTCCAAGAGGACGTCTTCAAGCTCGTCGGGGTCCTGGTTCACAGCGGAACGGCCGAGTCAGGGCACTACTACTCATATATTCGGGAGAGACCTAATGCAGGAGGTAGAGGCTCTTGGGTGGAATTCAATGATTCAGACGTAAGCAGGTTCGACCCATCCAAGATTGCAGATCAGTGTTTTGGTGGTTACAACGACTTGGTCCACTCGGCCTCCGTGAACCAAGTGCGATTCAACAAGGTCTGGAACGCTTACATGCTCTTCTACCAACGCATTTCGAGTATGGAGTCGGAAAAGTTGCTGTACAAGCCTTCCAAGGCCGACCATCCAGTGCATGTGTCGTTACCGGTTCCGCTAGCAAACCACATTGCGATGGAGAACGAGGTCTTTATACGAACATACTGTCTTATGGATCCATATCATGCCTTGTTTGTCCGACATCTCCTCTCCCGACTTCATGATAGGGAGATCACGAACAAGAGACCTAAACTGGATCAGGATGTGGTCTTCATCGCATTAGATACCTTAGAACAACTGATCGCGAGAACCAGGGAGCCTCTGGGTCTCGATGTTCTCGTCTCGGAGCTCATGGGAGTGATCAATGAGTTGCCAAAGGGAGCTCACAGAGTGCTCGAGTGGGTGGTAGATCGATCAGCAGGTATTCGCAATCTGGTACTGAGAAGTCCTCATGCGTCAGTCCGAGACAGTACAATCAAGATCATTATGCGCGCGCTCGAAAAGCTTCAAGAGCTCCGTGAGGCACACCTTGACGACCGTGCGAAGGAGAAATGGCACATGCGATACCTTGATGGATTCGAGAATGTGGTTGCCACTCTAGATGGGCTGTGGCCCGTTCTCCATACTACCAGCCGTTCATGGGACGATTACTTCACATTTCTTCTGTCTCTTGCCAACCTGGGAAGCTATGAGACAGAGACGATCTTGAATAGCGGGTTTCTACTCAAATGCCTGGAAATTGTGTGGCTCGATCGAGAAGACTCAAAAAGGTTGAAGCGTCAATATCTGTCTTACTTCAGACTTCTCGAGAAGGGCAGGAAATTCTCGCACAGGAGACTCATGGATCTTTTGGCATTTCTGTTGACAAAGGTTGATCTCACTGTGGCCCCAACCTCGGATGACGAGCGACGCTCTTTACCGAGTGGCAAGTTTTCACTTACGGTCACAGAAAATGTGTTCGTTCGTTCTCTCGGGAGGGATCGCGAGCTATCACTGCTGAAGAAAATTCTTCAACCAAATCATAATCCTCACGCTTCTATGGCTATTGTCGGTCTTTTGCTGGACTCGGAACCTGAAGCCGCTCTAACGGATCCGCTATGCAAGGTCCTGGAAGACGGGCTCAGGGTTGAACCCGCTGAGCTGTGTGCACCGTTTCTGGAGGCGACTTTGGTTCTTTGTCAAAGGAGTCCTGATGAGAACAAAATCATTACGCTCATTGACTTTGTTGCCAAGGGCATTGAGTCAATCAACGATAGTGGCGGTAGAGAGCATCTCGCATTCTTTACAAGCTTGCTGACAAGTCGAAATGAACGTCTTGGCCTAGAGAAGAATTGGTTTCTAGCGCAGATTGTGGACAAAATACCTGACTGGGCTCCGACTCTACTCGTCTTTCCTGACAAGACGGTCAGAAACACCACTTTGGCGCTTCTACACCAGATACTCTTCAGCGCAGAAGCAGAAGACATGGGCCCTGATTGGCAGTCACGACATGCCGAGATCGCAAAGGAGCTCGTGCGCAACAGTGTCGAGAAGCTAAGAAAGACATTTTTGACTGGGCCTGCCAACAATGTGGAAGCGAGGGTGATCGAGTGCGTCAAGGCCGTCATAGATCATTGTTTGGTTACGTATTTTGATGACAGCGAAGAGGACCAAGAGATTGTCCGTCAGGCGCAAGGTTCGTTTCCCCCCGATTCCATACCTTCATTGCCCCTCTACTCTAGACCGTTGCTAACCATTTACTTGTAGCCGTTAGCGCAGCCATTGATGAGCTATCTGTGAATATGCCAGAAGAATTGGCTTCCGGTATGCTAATCTTTTCTCCTTGATCCCCTGTCAACATCTAACCCTTGATGGCAGTTTCTGATTTACGATCTCCAGATGAATGGGAAGAGAATTCTATGCTGCCGAGCGATTCGGAGATGGGAATGGCAGGTTCACCGTGAGCAGCCGGGCGACGCAGTTGATGAAACGCTGTGATTGAATCACATATGAGTGACGAATTTATGACCAAGTTCTACATCGGACTTGTAGACTCTGCATTTGTCGGCGTTCGCTTTCCCGTCCAACAAACGAGAGCAGAAGCGGGCGTTGGCTGTTTGGCTTTGTTTCGGGCGACCATGGTTGGAGTTTGGCACTTCTCCGTGACCTTTTCTCCTTTATCTTCCAGCTTCCCGAACTTGTGTTACGTGATGGTGATTGTTCTTTGAGACATCGCAATGACGAGGTTCCATGTCGAGTGCGTTCAGGCGTCTTTGGTTGTTGTACCGACCTTACTATACACCGTTTCTAATGCGGAAGGTCGGATGCTGTGGAGCAGATTGAGCAATGATCTCAGCTGCTACTAATATAAGAAAAGTTTTAGAGGAATGGACTAGAGCTATGGAAAGTTCTTTGAATCGACGTCTGTGTTATGGGCGTCTGATTTTTTCTTGCGGAAACTATTGTACATGCTATTGTAAGGATCCTTCGTAATGGATGCAAGTATCTGCTCCCTACGGAAGCAGTGATATCCAACCAACCAGCAGTCAATGACCGAGTGAAAGCGGGTTCTCGGAGATAGGTAGGCTTTGCAAATCCTAGTCGCTTTCATGAGACTCCCTTCTGCAAGGACCTGATCGCAAGCGCCCGCGCTCGTGATCCGTATAAACTAGTGGGAGACGGGCAAGTGTCTGCCTCAGACATCCTCAAACTCTTCGTCATCCTCGTCAGACTCCTCCTTTTTCACATCAGGCTCTAGTTTGATCTTCTTCGCTACCGGTCCATCGTCGGCGGGTGTATTTGGCGTGCCCGCAGCGGTCTGAGGCGCACTTGTTCCGGAATCCGTGTCGAACTCGCGCTTGATACCGACCGGGGCAGAGGTGGGTGCACTGGTAGGCCCGCCCATGACCGCTGGAGAAGCAGTGTCGCTAGCGGAGACACCGCCGACGTCTTCGAATTCCTCGTCGAATTCGTCGTCTGAATCGTCCTCTTCGGCGCTGCTGGCGTCGCGTTGGGCCTGCAGGGCTTTCTCTCGTTCCATCTCGGCGTAGTATGCGGCAACCTTGTCGTCCAGGTCCTCGATCTTGGGTTTCCGGTCTTCTTCCTCCTTGATTTCGGACTTGATGGCGCCGTCTGTCTCGGTCTTGATGTAGTTGACGTTGCCGGCGGTCGTGGAGACGGTCGAGTGGGTGTGCCAGACGGGAAGAGCGTTTTGCTTCTCGAGGGCGGCCTTGCGCGCGGCTTCTTCTGCTTGCTCGGCGGCGCTCTTCTCCTCGGTGGAGGTGAGGGAGATTTCCAGCGCGGTGGCGTCCGTCTTGAGGTTGCCGCGGACGGCCTCTTGCTGTTTTGAGGGGACGACGATAGCGGCTCTTGTTGGGTTTGTTTGTTGGTTGCGGATGACGTCGACCTTGTGTTGCCATGCAGTCTCGAAGTCGTTGGGGGGGATCTCGACCGTGTCGATCTGCTTGAGCAGTTTCAGCATGTTATCCAGCTGGGCCATGAGCTTGCTGTTCTTCTCGTGTCCCGTGCGATCGATTCCCTCGGCTCCTTTGACGTCCTCTGTTCGCTCAAGGATGGCCCCGCAATTCTGGCATTCAAATCCCTCGTCCGAGTACAGGCTGAGGACATCCAGCTCCGTCCATTCGGCACCGCAACGCAAGCATACGTATTCCTTCCTTTCCTCGCTTGGTGTGTATTGAGCTTTGATTGTCGACGTTAATCTCGAGACCTTGAACTTGATTGCGTCGACGACGGGATGTAACGGGATATAGTAGTATTCACGGTTGACAGGCCGGGTTGACCCATCTCGAATCTCGGCTCGTGTGCTTCTGCACGGGGGAAAAGTCAATCATGTCAGCTTGTTTGCAGGTCCAATTAGTCTGGTACTGCAAGCGAGCCATACACCGCGATCAAACGATCTTCGCGCAACTTGGCGCACAGTTTCCGCAGGTCCTTCTGCTGCATGCCGAGGAGGAAAGCAAGATCTTCCGCATGGAGTCTACATCAGGTAAGTGAGATGAATGTCAGCCATGTATAACCAGGCTTCCGACACTTTTAAAGCCCTCGCGAAAAAGACGTACACCGAGTGGATGAAGAGCGCATCGACTATGAGAATATGGCGAGTCTCATAGAAAGCCCGGACCACGGTCCGGATGAGAGTATTGGCAAGATCCATCCCAGAGGAGATTGAGATCTATCGAGTAAATACAGTAAACCTGTAATTACCTCGCGGGTCTCGAAGCAAACACGAAGGGGAGCGGCGCAAAGATTCTTGATGTCACCGAAGAGAGCTTTAACGAAAGACGAGGGACATTCTTTTTGGTCCAGACAGCCAAAGAGGCCAGATCGGATTTAAGGAGGGATGAAGGGGTGAAATAGCCTGGACGCAGCCTTAAGACAACAGAACTGCAGAATAGGGACAAAGGAGCGTGGTAGAAGAAAAGGTTGAGGCGAGTTCGATGTGAAAGGCTGGAACCAAAGAACATGCCCGAGGCACCCACTGTTAGTGCCTGAGGCGCCAAAGAGCTGCATGATTCGGGAATAGTGCAATCGATCTCCCGCTAGTCCCGATCTGGTGTAGCGCATCTCAGACGTCAAATCGCAGCCAAAAAAGGTCAAAAACGCTAATGTAAAGCCATTTGGATACAGCAGAAGTCTCTTCATGCGCGCCTACGTTTCCCTGCGTCAGTGCTTGTCTGGGTTTAGTTTATCCCCCAGGAACCTCACGATAGTCACTCCATCGCTACGGAATACTAAATTAGTCGATTTTACGACGGCGCAACGGCAATTCGGAACCATAGTGTCATTACAGCATTGGCAAAGACGAAACTCACCATGGACAATAACGAACGAAGAGCTGAGGGACCAGGAGAAGCTGGTGAAAAGCGTAAGAAGAGGAATATGGGAAGGGCAGAATGGAGGTATGTTCGCGCACGGAGATGATCCACCAGTCGCAGCTGTCATCGACTAACCTGGCAAGTCGGCACATGGTAGACAAGAGAGCGCGCAATGAGGAGCAAAACGAAGCCAAACGGCGCAAGATTGAGAACGGCGAGGAAGTGTCAGGGCCAATCTATGCGACGCATTTCGCGCCGGAAGATATTGAAAATGAGCAGCGGCGGCCGAAGAAGAAGGTTGCCGTATTAATTGGATACGCTGGGACGGGCTATCATGGAATGCAATTGTACGACTCCCGGACACCTATGGGACTTAAGGCTACGATATTGACTTGTACCCAGGAGTGATAAGGAAAAGACCATCGAAGGAGATCTGTTCACCGCGTTCGTTGCGGCAGGCGCCATCTCCAAAGCCAACGCTGCCGACCCTAAAAAGTCGTCCTTGGTCCGATGTGCGCGCACTGACAAGGGCGTCCATGCGGCGGGTAACGTGGTCTCGCTGAAACTGATTGTTGAAGATCCAGATATCATCAAGAAGATCAACGAGAAGCTCTGCCCCCAGATCAGAGTCTGGGACATCCAGGTCACGAATAAGGGATTCAGCTGTTACCAGATGTGCGACTCTCGTGTCTACGAGTACCTGATTCCAAGCTATTGTTTCCTGCCGCCACATCCCAGCACATATCTTGGCAAGAAGATTGTCGAGCTTGCTGAGAAGGAAGGCGACCTGGAAGCTTACAAAGCCCGACAGGAGGAGGTAGCTACCTACTGGGAAGATGTCGATAATGAGCGTATCAAGCCTATTCTTGATACCTTTCCTGAAGATCTCCGCAAGATAGTCGAAAAGGCTCTGTACTTTGATGAGGAGAAAGCTCCAGAAGACGAAGATGCTGGTCAGAAGGAGGAGTCGCAACAAACTTCCTCGACAGGCAACCCTGCAGATTCGGAACAGGCCGCCCAAGACCAAAGCACAGAGGCATCGGCCGAAGAAGAAGCCCGCAGGCGGCGAATCTACGAGGCTGTCAAGAAAGTGAAGATCGCCTACACTGAAGCCAAACGCGCATACCGTATCCCCGCCGCCCGTCTGGACCGCCTGCAAGCCACACTAGACAAGTACGTTGGCACGAACAATTTCTATAACTACACCATCCAGAAGACATACGGCGACCCGTCTGCCAAACGCTTCATCAGGTCTTTCAAGGTAGACCGCAACCCGATCATCATCAACGGCACGGAGTGGCTCAGCCTCAAAGTCCACGGCCAAAGCTTCATGATGCACCAGATCCGCAAGATGGTAGCCATGGCGACAATGCTGGTCCGAGCCGGGTGCGATCCCCAGCGCATCGTGGACTCGTACGGACCCACCAAGATTGCCATCCCCAAGGCGCCGGGACTGGGTCTGTTGCTCGAACGGCCCATCTTCGACGGCTACAACAAGAAGGCAACCACCACGCTGGGCAAGGACCCTATCGATTTCAGCAAGTATCAAAAGGAGATCGACGAGTTCAAGCAGCGTGAGATCTATGATCGGATCTTCCGCGAGGAAGAGCAAGCGAATGCGTAAGTCTTTCCACAATCTTCCCGTTCTTCGAATCAGACGCTGACAACCGAGCAGGTTCTCTGTCTTCTTCAACCATATCGATCACTTCGGCCAGGAGACATTCCTTTACATCACGTCGGGGGGTATGGCGGCTTCCAAACCGCCCATGCCATCTACCGATGCGACAGAGGCTGAACAGAAGGAGACCAGTAAGCCCAACCCGAAATCTCAGAGAGAGGCCCTTGCTGCTGTGGAATCCGAGTCAGATGGTGAGGGTGCAATTGGTGAGGAGGGCGGTTGAAACTGCCGTATCGATTGTCCTGGTAAAAGTGCAGAGGAATTTGTTAGATGGAGACATACTTCCCTCCCAAGCATAAAGATGGCATTCAAGTGTGTTCGACAGTCTCTATAATACAAAAGGACCTACAAGGTCCATACCATTGAAGTGTCAGGAGATTTTTCGTAGCATTACACTTATGCCAGTGTGGAAGAAGTCTACGTATCGTCAGATTTATTCTAGTATTCGGCC